TTGCGATCTACATCTCAAGTGACTACATCGTGAGACAAACAATAATACACTTTATTATTGCATCTACCACGATGAATAACAACCACCTTTTCCTCGACAATATTTGCCTCATTAGCACAAGCGAATTCAGTTTCTGATGGAGCTACAAAAAAACTCAGTTCTAAATATTGGAAGGTCATAGAACGATTAACTATGCCAACGAATTTGAGCCCAATGTATTGAATACATTTCACATGGGTAGCTAATAATTTACAAAGAATATATGAGTTCACAAGTGCTTTTACGATCCAGAAATTTTGCAGTTTTTGAAGGACAAGTTATAACAAAATATATTTTACCTTTAACATTGCACCCAAAAAGCTAAACAACAAGACCAACAACAGCAAACAAAAAGCAATATTCACTATGTACTAAGTTTCACTAGCTCTTTAACTGTTTGGAGTCAATTCAAATCTAACATGATGCCTTCCATGCACAAAGTGATATTCTAATGCATGAGCCAAACTGTAAACAATGACATCAGCAAAGATCCCTTTATAAGACGAGGGGACACTCAATATCGAGAATTGACCTTCAAAACTGAAATCATCAATTCCTTCATATTTTGCCAGGAGAAACCCCTTGGTGAACTATTTTCAAAAATAAGACTAAAACTTGCCTGAGAGTTTTTCATTTTCAGAAATCCAACAAAAAGTAGAAAGGCGGTTTTCGCACTGCGGCTGCCATTAAATTCAGCCGAAAACTTGTGAATATGCCTAACTCTAAACAGCACTATCAGCTGAAACCTCCGGCCAGCATCATGCTAGAACGTAGACATTTGTGGCTTACTCAAGCTTAGTATATCCCCAGCACTACAAGCCGACACCACCGACACACGCTGGATCAAACTGGGCAAAACAAGAGCAAAATAGCGCCACTAAAATTACTAGCGAAAAACAAAGCTTGGGAAAGTTGCTGTGAGAATTAACCAATAGCGTCATAGAGAGATGAACCCAGTTTATTCAAATGATAAAACAGCTGTCTGGGTTTAGGCCAGTGGTGAATAATGTATCATAGAAAGTAAGCATCTCATGCAGCTTTGAATGAGACATAAATGAATCTATTGAAAAAAACTAGCCATACAAAATACATGATATATCAGTGTACTACACAGGGTTGCAACATGTACATGTATTCATGAAAGGCTAAGTGTTCATTGTCACAAGTTAGACAAAAGAGTCTGTTACGTTACATTTAACCATAGATTGTTTTCACTATCACGCAAAAAAAAATAAATTGAAAACCATTCAGTGGATAAAGTCAAGAAATTGTGATCTTATAGGAAATAGATAGAGAAGACACTTCTCCAAGCTTTAGGTTTGTGCGCTTCCCAGATTGCAGATATTTGTCGAAATGTTTCGCAGAAATTTACAGAGTCCAGTATGGAAATGCCGTGTTGGTGAACCTCTGTGGCGCACCAATACGGCGGCCAGAAAATAGTGTAAACATCTGGAACTTACTTTGGCTATCTACAGTGTAGGTGACTGATTGTCTGTACTGAACAAACAAACATTTACATAAGCACTTTTCCTAATGATCTAACTTCTAAAAAAGCTAAAAGTCATGAGATATAGGTATATACTTTTCAAGAAATGCGATTGCACCGCCACAACTCTGAAATACCCTGGTTTTCAAATGAAGCACACTATTAAGCCGTAACATTCTAAACAGAAATAAATTTACCCCCTCTTCTGTCTGATGGGGATAAAAACTTTGGTGGCTCTTTAGTTTTCGATTTTAGAAAAATAATCTAAACACAGAAACTCACTCTTGAACCACGTGATTGGGATCAGGCAGTTTATTTTAATCCTACACCTACAAGCGACACAGAAAATGATTCTGCTGATCACAATCTTTGAATAAACTACAATAAAACTAGAGGCCCATCGAGAGCCTGTACAAGATAATGATAAATACATAAATTACAAAGATTATGAACACAACGAAAATCATTACTGCCATGGAAGTAGGTGGGCGGGAAAGCTAATGCTGGTAACTTGAAAAGCGCGAATAATAGATAGCTATTGCACTATTGCTAGAATGATAATGATGTACGTTAGATCCGAAACTAGGTTACATACTAGGTATTGAGCAATACTACTAACAGTTATTTTACTCTACAGTAATTGGTGGAATTTTACTGGCTTGTAATAGTCTCATGACTTTGCAATAAAGTTGCTCAATCGACTAAAAAGGCTGTGACCTTTGCCTGAACCCAGATGTGAAACTAATGAGTGGTTGTCATGTCTAGATTCATATTAATGGTATTAATACTCCACGATAACATCACATGAAAACGATCTATTGCCCTTATAATAACAGTAACGACCCAACAGGGGCCAAGAACGTCATGCTCCATTAACTGCACTTTAAAGACCTGCTTTAAAGCTTCACTTGTTCAACTACAGGTAAAGAAATTATCTTGATGACAGACTGTACTCTTGAGAGAAACTGTTATTGGTGACTTCACTCAGCAACTGGAGAAGTGGTGTCTCAAAAACTCACACCCTTAAAATAAAACAAGCGCAAGCCATCTTATTTACTGTTCATCAGTACATTGTCATAGCCAGAATCTGCAGAGAAAAAAAAGCTCCCAGTGGTAGATACCTGCACAGATCACAAACATAATATTCGAATCGACTTTTTGGCTTCTAATTACAGGTGTAAAACAAATTCATCCACGGTGTTTTAAAAGCCATCCAAGCCATTAGTTTAGTTAGCATGAGGTGCATTGTATGATGAGAAGAATAAATTTCTCTTAAAGTAAAAAGTTTTCTCACACTTTCTGAAACAAAACAGGTTTGATAACTCCTCCCCTAGGAACATACATAATAGGGATTTTAAGGTATGATATGGCTAGGCTGTAGTACGGCAGCAGTTAATGAAGATCACTTCCGGTGACATCATGACGTGCATATCAGTACGACTTTCCTGCTGTAGCCTTGCTTTCTACTACGGGAAAGTGCTTGGTTTCACGTACTCTTCACTATGTGAATATAAGCCTGCTGTTTACTTCTCCAGTCATATTAGTATCGGGCTGAACAGCCGTTTATAAGAAAGCTTCGTATGTTCTTATCTGAGCTATAATTGTTCAATGTATTTTATTATAATTGAAAGTTTTGTATTTTCGGGCTTATCACATAATCGTTGTGTGAACAACCTGTCCATGTTGAAATCCAGCTTTTTTATATCTGAGTTTATATTTTGTTTTGTGGTTGGAATTACAGGTGGTTGTATCAAGTTATAAAAGACAAATCTGAGTTCTGGGAGATGTAAGATGGATACAAGAGAAGGAAATCATTGTCTTTAATCGAGCCTATTTCGTATGAAAGTATCTGGTTTCCTTGAAAGTAGTCATTTTTGTAAAGACATGTAGAGACTGCACATACCGTTGCCGTGCAGCAAAATCTTAATCATTTGAGTTTGGTGGGTAAAACACCGTTGTCAGCCTAGTCCCTCACAGCCAAAGTAGCTGTAGTAGCACCTCGCCATAGCGTATCTTAAAGTCCCTAATAAGGTAGCCAATGTAACACGATACAGTTGTTGAGATACATGTTAGTTAAGTGAGGAGAACTGTGAAAATTTTTTTTAATGTCTCTAGTTAGACAACAGAGACAGTCTTCTTCATCTTGCTTTTGTATAGTACACCTCAAGACTAAAAATGTCCTTTCTACTATACATATACTTTGTACATCTAAAGTAGAGCTTGCAATATAAATATTAAATTCACTATCCATATCATAAACATTTGCATTTGCATTATATCAAGTTTGAAATAAAATTATGGCATCACAAAGGGCTCTGTGGCTTTGGTTAGTCCTCTACTCAGGCTATTGTCAGTGTTAAAGTTTAAAAGTTTTTCAGATGCAAGTTGTTCCATAATTGTATGTTAAAAATACTTGACAATCATTTTACGTACACTGTTATCTTTGTTGAATTACTTGAAAGTATACATGTGTACCCTCTAAGTGGCACATTGGGAAGGGACTGATACTTTGGGAGAGGGAGAGAAATAAATTTCCCAGAAGTCTCCTGAACATTTCTAAAGTCGATGCACTAAGTTTCTAACATTTCCCAAATTGGTCTGAAGAGATTAAAAGAATTCAGAACATGAAAGAAGAACTTGAAAATTATTTCTGAAGTTGACCCAAACTCTCCTGAAGATGAATCAAGGATTTTAAAAGATTGCTCACTGCATAATTTGCAAACACACTTGTGAGATTTATAATTTAAGGAATTATGCCACTCAT